CATCCGGGCCGGGGGAGGGGGTGTCTCGGCCGGAGACCCCGACTCCTAGAGGCCGAGGCGGCCGGGCCTCCTCCCCCCGCGGCCGCTCCCGCCCTCGGGGCTGCGGGCGGTCCCCAGCTCCTTACGGCTTCGCTCCGGTTCCGGGACGCTGGGGGGTGGCCTCAGTTTCCCCTGACCTGGGCCACCCCGTTTCCTGAGGCCAGAGGAGCGTCGCCCCCCCGAGTAAGCCGCCCGTGCCCGGCCCGGGCATGTCTCCTGCTCAGCCCGGAGCCGCCCCTCGCTGTGGATCCTGGGCCCAGGTCCGGCCTGGGAACCCCCCATTCAAATTCAGATCCCCTCCCTGCTGTCAAGCGGCTTCCGCTGCTCCCCAGATTGCTCCCGGGAGCCGTTGATGCCCTGATTTCTTCCAATGTCGCCTACGGCTCCTTTGGTCTCAGCGCAGCCCCAGACTTCAATGCAAAGGAAAAGTCTGGATTGGTTTCACAGGCCTTTTAAAAAGCGGACCTGAAAGTTGCTGGCTGTGCATTCCGGCTCCGGTGAGCTGTCGCTGAAGTCTGCGGGACCCGTGTCCTTTTCCGGAGAGCAGGGCTGGGGAAGGAGAGCGGCAGGAAACTTGTTGGGAAGGTGGAGAAACTGAGATAGGGTGTCGGTGACTTCCCCAGGAAAAGTTCTGGACAGCAGCCAAAGAAGACCCACATTTCCTTTCTGCCTGGGGATCGAAACGACTTTGGTGTTGTTGGTCCTCTTCTGCGTCCCCTCGGGACATTTCTGTTGGAAGGTTTTCTTCTTGAAACAGCCTGTAAAATAAACTTTTAAGAAAAAAAAATCAAGAAACTTTGGGGGTAGATTTGCAGCTACATTACTTCAAGATTGAGGAACTGCAAAAATAATTGGAACGTCTGTTTACACGTGTCGACTCAAAACTTGGCTTCTTTTTGTAATACAAGATTGACCTCATATACTGGTGAATGTGAAATTCTGCATAACTGTTTCCTCCCAAAGCCCACAGACCTTTCTGGAAGATCTTGAACCCTCTTCTGGAAAGGGGTGCCTATCATTGCTTTATGGGGCAGCAGCCTGGAAAAGTTCTTGGGGACCAGAGGAGGCCGAGTCTGCCTGCCCTGCACTTTATCAAGGGCGCAGGAAAGAAGGAATCATCGAGGCATGGGGGTCTGCACTGCAATGTTTTTGTGGAACATGGTGAGTACTTTTCAAGATTTCTGGTCCAGTGTTTCCTTTTGTGCATTTGGCGTAGGCCATCGAAGAACTTTCTGTAGCCAGCAGCACTTTATGTCTGTTGGTTCCATTTCTCTGCTTACATTATCTTGTGGTTTCTGATGGGACTTAGCTTTCTATCAGAAAGGTATGAGTTAAAAACATTTTGTTGAAGTTGCTTGATTCTTGCCTGATCCCACTTACTCATTGTTGCCAATGACCTTGAACAGATCATTTTACTGTTCCAGGGCCTCATTTCATTTCCTGGGGGTTTCTCAGTTCTGTCACCTGCTCCTGCTAAAGGCACTGACTCTTCTGAAGTATCTGAATCCTTTACTATGGTTTTCTCTGCCCCCTTCCCTCTCTCCCTCCCCACTGTCTCTCTTCCCCCTTCTCCTTGTCCCCTTCTCTCTTCCTTTCCCTCTCTCTCCCCTTACCCTCCCTTCTCTCTCCTCTCTCCCCTTTCTTTCCTTCTCTTGTCTCCTTGTCTCCCTGTATACTGGGGCTTGAACCGAGGGCCTCGTGTGTTTTAGCTTTTTCACTCAAGGCTAGCACTTTAACTGCACTTCCACTTCCTGATTTTTGCTGGTAATTGGAGTCTCTAGGTTTTGTCTTCCTAGGCTATCTTTAAACCTCAAGCCCCAGAGCTCAGCTCTCTGACTAGCTAGGATCACAGATGTGAGCTACTGGCACCTGGCTCCCCTCACTACTTTCCTTCCCAAGAGGACTTTTATTGTAATCTCAAAGTGACTTATGCTCTGCAAAAAAGTTCAGGACCAGCCGGGCGCAGGTGCTCACGCCTGCCATCCTAGCTGCTCGGGACCAGCCAGGCGCAGGTGCTCACACCTGCCATCCTAGCTGCTCGGGAGGCTGAGAGCTGAGGATCGAGGTTCAAAGCCAGCCTGAACAGAAAGTCCTGGTGAGATTCTTATCTCCATTGAACCACCACAACATCGGAAGTGGTTCTGTGGCTCAAAGTGGTAGAGAGCTAGCTTTGAGCAAAAGAGCTCAAGGTCAGCGCCCAGGCCCAGAGTTTGAAAGTCCCACCACCATCAAAAAGAAAAAAAAAATCAGATACTAATATTCTTGACCTTTATAATCTGAAGGAGAATTTGAAAATACTCATTTTGGAGCCATGTGGGAAAAGCAGCATGGGGAAACAGCGTTTCTTGTTACCTGAGCATACACACCACCTTCTCCTTAATTTACCTTCCCTTTTACTGTAGAATGACATTTGAGGCAATAAAGGTCGTCTTTGACAATTTTATGGACACCATTGACATTTCAGTGTTGATAGTACATGCTAGTTTGTTGACTTCTAGTAATTTTGTGTGAAGTTAACGCTAAGGCTCAGATTAGATTGAAGTCTGTAGCAGAGGCCAGCCAGGAACCAGTTAATTAGGGTTCTGCTTGTACTGTTAGAGCCTGACATTTTTTAGGCACTGAACCTAATATTAAAACATCAATTGAGCCCCCTCCCCTTGTAAGCAAACGTAGGTTGTCTGTGAGTGGCACGTACTTTGAAATTCACAAATACCTCCTAGCAGTGGGTGACTGCAATAAAAAAGGGCTCTCGGATGAACTTGTATTTGATAGTTCTTACATTCTTTTTTTTTTTTGTTTTGTGCTTATACTGAGGCATGAATTCAGGGCCTGGATGCTTTCCCTTAGCTTGAGCCACAGCTTTACTTCCACATTTTTGGTGGTTAGAGACAAGAGTCTCAAGGACTCCCTCCCTGGACTGGCCTCTAACCTCCATCCTCATCTCAACCTGCTGAGTAGCTATGATGGTGTTGAGCCACCAGTCCCTTGCTGATAGTTCTGTTTTAGCATCTATTATAGGTAGGCAAATGTGTCATTATACTGTGTTCTTACTGAATTAAGAAGTTAGGGAATCCAGGCTCTGTTAATTTTAATGTTGCAGAATCTAGGGTTCACTGGTGTGGTGGCTTCTGGTTCTACCAGCCTTTAAGCACTACCACTTGGGCTGGGAAGGTGGCTCAGTGGTAGAGTGCTTGCCTTGCATGCTTGAGGCCCTGGGTTCGATTTCTCAGCACCACATAAGCAAAAAAGAAAAAAGCCGGACATGGCGCTGTGACTCAAGTGGTAGAGCGCTAGCCTTGAGCTGAAGAGCTGAGGGACAGCGCCCAGGCCCAGAGTTCAGGCCCCACAACCGGACCCAAAAAGAAAAAAAAGAACTATCACTTGTGAGGTTTTGATATAACATTAAAGAAGAATGTCTACAGCTATCCAGAAAGATTACTTTTGGGGAAAAGTTTTAGTAACAATAAAAATTTTTTACTTTTGTATGAATCGATTAGTGTACTTTAAATTTCAGTTTAAGATTCTAATTTGGTAATTATTGAGATTAACTTATATAAACTAAAGGTCTTTGATAATTTCAGGTGTACAGAGGGCCAGAAATGAAAAAGTTTGAGAACCTTTGGAATCTCTCCAGAGGGCATGTAAGATATGCACTGCAGGCCAGCAGTAAAAGAGATGTCTGTATGACAGAAGTGAAAAGGCCATTTGGAAACCAGTCTACATGGCATGACCCCATTTTTGTAAATAAGAAATACCTTTATTTCTTTCTGGCATTGGGATTTGAACTCAGTGCCTCATGCTTGCTCAGTTGGCATTCTACCACTTGAGCCACACCCTCCAGCTTAACTTTCTGCTGGTTATTTTAGAGATAAGAGCTTCATGGGCTTTTCTGCCCAGGCTAGCTTTGAAATACTAACTTCAGGACCTCAACCTCCTGAGTAGCTAGGATTACAGGTATGAGACACTGGTGCCCCAATCTATAAGTGTGTGTGTATGTGTGTGTGTGTGTGTGTGTGTGTGTGTGTTAGCGAGATGATGGGAGGATTTTAGATCTCAGGGCACTGAGAGGTTTAAGTTGAAGGAGAAAACTACTTTTTTTTGGTTGTCCTTGGGGCTTGAACTCATGGCCTACACTGTTTCTGAGCTTTTTTGCTCAAGGCTAGCAGTCTGCCACTTTGAGCCACAGCGCCACTTCCAGTTTTCTAGTGGTTAATTGGAGATAAAAGTGTCCTGGTCTTTCCTGCCGGGGCTGGCTTTGAACCATGATCCTCAGATCTCAGCCTTCTGAATAGCTAGGACTATAGGTGTGAGTCACTGGCATCTGGCTTAAGCCTCTTTTTTTTTAAAATTTTAATTTTTTTAAGGGTTTCCTTTTTTCTTCAACATTAGCAGTATTGGGGTTAGAACTCAGGGCCTCAACTTAAGGACTTTGCTGATCTGGTTAGTCTTGAACTCTGACCCTTTAGGTCTCAGCCTCCTGAGTAACTAAGGTAATAAACAGGGAACCACTGACACCTGGTTAAGAAATATTTCTCGAGCACACATCATGTGCTATGCAATGTTTTAGTCACCAGCGATTTGTTAGTGAAAACAACATACCCACACTCCTAGGACTTACTTTGTTTTAGTGGGAGAAACAGCATCATAGGCTGGATAAGGATATGTAGAACTGTGAGAGAGAGCTGTGAGTGCTGAGGAGGAAATGTTGGAGGCAGTAATTGTAGGGAGGTTGCTGGCAAAGGCGGCATTTGAAGAAGGGAGGGAGGAACAGCTTTGGGGAAGTGTTGAGTAAATAAAGCACTAAAGGAAGGGGTGTCAGGTGGAAAACTCCCAGCAGAGCTTGCCTAGAATGTTGGGTCAGTGTAGCTGGACAGAGAGAGCAAAGGAGGGGTGTCAGGGTAAAATGGGATGGCAGGCAGAATGTCTCCAGAAGAGTGGGGCCTGCTGGCTATTTCAAGGTTTTGACTTTCACGCCTGTGGTTTGGGAAGCCTGGTCTGTGATCTGAGAGGCGCTCTCCTGGCTGCTGTCTAGCTGAGGACAGAGGAGAAAGTAGGATTCTGGGTGGGGCTCGATTGCACTCAGTTGCACTGATCTAGATGAGAATGATGATGTGATGTGGGACCAGGGTGGTGGCAGGCAAATCATCAGATTCTGTAATTATCTGAAGGCTGAGCTATCTGTACTTTGGATCTGCTTTTGGATTCTATGTCAGGTATGAGAGAGATCAAGAGTAGCTAGCTCACGCCTGTAATCCTAGCTATTCAGGAGGCTGAGATCTGAGGATCACAGTTCAAAGCCAGCCCAAGCAGGAAAGTCCGTGAAATTTATCTCCAATAAACCATCAGAAAACTGGAAGTGGGGCTGTGGCTCAAGTGGTAGAACGCTCGCCTTGAGCTGAAGAGCTGAGGGACAGCGCCCAGGCCCAGAGTTCAAGCCCCACGACCGACCAAAAAAAAAAAAGAGTATCTCCCAGATTTGTGGACTGAGTACTGGAGGAATGAACTTGCCTTTTACTGAAAAATTTTTTTTCTAAATACAAGAGGAGTTGATTAGGGTGGGAGGAGAGATCAGGAACTGCTTTGGGGTGTGCTACATTTGAGACAGGTGTTAGGCAGCCAGGTGGACATGTTAGGCAGGCAGGTAGGACTACATGCTGGAATTGAGGGAAGCAGTGCAGGCTGCAGAGGAGAGCTGGTGTCCTCTGGTGAAAGATATTTAAGGCATGAGAATGGATATGCTTGCTAGGGACCAAGTGTCCACGTGCATATCTTGCAGTCATGGATGGGAGAGAACATTGCGTAGTTCATGAATGTACACGTTCGTTCCATTTTCATAGATTAGTTTGAATCTTGTGGAGAAGGTAATAGTTCAGTGTTTGCATGGAATTATTTTAATTCATCATTAAGCTTTCAATCCTGTTTTTTTTGGGGGGGGCAGGTCAGTCTTGGGTCTTGAACTCTGGGCCTGGGCTCTGCTCTCAGCTCTTAAGCTCAAGGTTAGTATTCTACTCTTGAGCCACGGTGCCACTTACAGTTTTCTGGTGGTTAAGATAAGAGTCTCATGGACTTTCCTTCCTGGGCTGGCTTTGAACCAAGATCCTGAGATCTCAACCTCCTGAGTAGCTAGGATTACAGGAGTGAGCCACCGGCACCAGGCTTCA